AAAAAAAAAAAAAAAATTCCAGAAAACTGTGGGGTCATTTGACCCCATATGACCCCATGTGGGTCCGCCCCTGCCTTTGTGCATACTCTGAGAAAACATACCCCACCAACATCGAGTTCCAAGAAACTGAGTCCAACACAGGACATCCATCAAACATCCTTCTAGCATCACTTACTTTGCCACACACACTATACATATAAATCAAATTGTTCACCCCATAGACATCACAATCAAAACCCCATTTCCATCACATGATCATGCAACTCTTTGCCCTCAAACTTCAATGATAACTTCTTAAGCTTACAAAATTTTTATGCTCAAAGTAAAAAGTAGACAAGTGCGCGGTGACATGAATTCGTGTAAAAATAGACAGCATCCATGAAACGTTGAATTTGAGATCAATTATCAAAATCATAAAAGTCAAATCTTGTGGAGAGAAAAATACAAATCCGTTGAATGGAAACAAATAAAGTGAAATAATTCCGACAGATGGAGACCCAACTGAAGCAAATGCTAGAAAATCAATAACTTGGAAATTTCAATCAAAAATATAATAGATGTGACCATTATTTGAATCTTAAAAAGTCAAATTCTACAATTCTAAATAAAAAATTCCTGACATATAGGGTTGTGATCACAAAATTCCTTAATGGCTCGACCATAAAGTTCATTGTGAACATATAGATTAAAATGATTTTAAAACTTAACTTAGAAAAATAGTGGAGGTGACGAGCAAAGTGGTCGTGGGTCACTGGCTAGGGTTGAAATTTGAAAAAAGGTTCGACCTCTAACTTCTTTAGTTGTTTTGTGGTTTGTTCTCTTTGTGTGAAAGAGAGAAGGGAACACTGGAATGGAAGAAGAGAAGAAGCTGCTTGTTGTCGCTTGGTCACCAGTCCGGTTGGAGTATCGGAGGCAGAGCCGCGGAGGCAGTCGTGCAACTCGCAAGAGCCAGGACTGAAATAGACATAAAAAAAATTATTTCCTTTTAGGCCCCCTCCAATTTTGGGCCTGAGGCGCAGGCCTCATTTTCTTGATGGCCATAAGTCATCGACATACACAACACAATGGTTTCGTATTTCAATTAATAAATCAGACCATGAATATACCACAAGCTTTCTGAATCATGTTCCCGTCACTTTCCTTTTATAGCATCCAATCCAAAAGAACAAATATTTTTAATTCTACATGAATAACAATATCCATTACAGACACAGAAAACTAACTATACATTCTCTCCCTTCCTAGAAGTCAGTCTCAACATACTCTCCTCTGCACAAAGATCTTACTTTCTTGGCTAAAGCATCAGCCACATGATGAAATTGACAGTGAAGGTAGTAACAAGAATTCTATATTTGATTTTTTTTCAATGCAAAAATTATTATATCACAACAATCAGCAAACTCATAGCCGCAGTTATCAGTAGGCTACTACAGTTACACTGCACTTCATCACAACAGAATTTTGCGATTTTTTCGCACATTACATCCTTCTTTGCAGTCTACACTATTTATAGAGCAAAAAAGGTAGCAGAATTAACTTGCCCAGAATGCAAAACATATAAAAAAGGAAGCAGAACCTCGTAAGAATATTATGTAATGTAGCACATTACCTCTATTTTGCTAATGTTTTTCCATATAATAAATGCAAACACTTTGCCCCCAAAAATCAAGCATGTATTTTGAGTTGTCGCCTAGCAGTATCACTTTTTGGGAAAAGAATGTTAAATTTTTCTTAAGAAAACCCAAAAGACTCCCTCAAGAAGAATTTCGAACATGATGGTGATATCTCACGACATGCATGATTAGCACGAGTCGGTGTGATTACAGGAGATTCATATTTATGCATTCATTATCTTTACTTTGTACTCTAGCCTCCAGATGGAGTAATTATTTTTTCTTTATTTTTTTCTTGTGGAAGTCAAGCCTAAGCCCCCTACTAGTACTATTTTGCTTTCGTTACCATTACAATGGACCACTGAGTGTGGTCGATTCATCCAAGAAAAAGAAATATCTAATGAGAATCCACAAATTTTTTTAAACTTAGATCCCGAGATAACTCTCTTTTCTACAATAGACAAACTAGAATGGATTTAAATTGCATTATATATAGAAAGGTTCTGATGATAATGGAACAAAAACAGAAAATGCATTTATCTTTTACATCAATTCCTAACAAGATCTGGGGCTTGAATGTCATCAGGAGAATGCGATTACTTGGCCATCCATTACTCATCAGTTTAGCATTGCCTTATGGAAGAGCAATGCAATCACTGTAGGCTAAGAATCTTCTGTCTTGAATCACTAGTCTAGAGTCAGTATGGCTCGAACATCGCTCAATAATCACATCTACGCATTTATGAAAAATTTGAAATGCGCAAGCAACCTCATAGGTCAGGATAACAGATAACAAACCAAACTTTGAACACAGAACAAAGAAACACAACCAGAACAAGATCTATTGATAGTTTTTCAAATTTTGATGAATAGAAGCACTTGAAATATAATTGGAAGTGCAAAAGCAATTTTACAATTGAACAAAGGTCGACGACAGGGATTACAAGATTACAATTACATCAGTTCCCCGTAATCAAAAGCCAGATTGAATGACTGGAGGTATAATCCCAAGAACTTCCAGAGCTGACAAGTATTGATGATAGCACATCTATTAAGCACTAACTTCTACTTGTTCTGCTCCTTGTTCAGGGAGCAATGAACCAAACCCATCCTTTTTATTAGCATTTAAAGAAGCATCATATCCTTTCCAATACAGAGGATTTGATGTCAAAATCTTGACCTCAGATTTATCATTGATCTCCAGAACCTCCGGTAATCCATTATTACACCCCCTCGACATTCCCACATCGATTCTTATGGCTCGGTTACTGCAAACTCCATTAATCCCACGTTCCTGAATCGTATGACCCATGATCATCCTCTTCACTCCAGGAATAGTCTCAAGCGCATGCTCAAGGGTCGAACAATCACAATCCTTAGCCAACTCTTTCGAAAAGCTTCTCAACCAAACAATAGAGTTTCTCCCCCTCACCAACTGATTCGCCACTTTCAACCTTAACCCAAGAATCCAATCCCTCACCTCCTCATTTACACGCTCCAATCCATAAAAGACATGCTTCGGCAATAACCCTCCATGGACAAATACAGAATCCCCAACAACCACAACTGTCTGGTTCTTTGACAAAAACCTTTTTGCAATCAATCCATTTGGTCGCAACGCAGCCATTCGTGCTCTAACACCATTCAACAACTCCGGCTTAATTCCTCGAAATTCCTTAGGCATCCCATCAAATGGATCATCAAATAAAATATTCTCATCCAATCCACCACACATTGTCTTCATGAAACTCCCAACAAGTTGCCACGTAGCCCAATTCTCAAACTCCTTTAGTCCATGAGGCGTCACAAACCGAAAATCCCCGTCGACATTCATAATCTCGTGATTTCCATTCATCGTAATAACCCTCCCACCAACTTGCGCAGCCTCCCTCTTCAGTTTCTCAAAGAAATACAACAACTTAATCTCATCCCCACCCCGGTCCAGAATGTCCCCCACCTGTACAACTGTACTCGACCCGCCCGACCACCGATCGTTCAGGTCAATCAGACCCGAAAGCCTTAACGCCTGTTTAGTCTTTAAAAGGTCTCCATGGAGGTCCCCAATGGCAATGAGGCGAGCGGGCTGTGCAAATACAGTTTGTAAAGGAGGCAACCCTGATGAATCCTTGGGATTTTTGGAATTCTGGATCGTAATCGGATCCGGATTTATGCTAGGTTCAGGGGGCAAGAAAAGGCCGCCGCTAACTGAGAAATCGACGAAAGTATCGACGAAGGAGGAGAGTAGCGAAGGAAGAATTTGACAATTAATTTGGGATTCCATTTCTTTTTTCCAAATTTTTCGCTGTTTCTTTCCTATAAATATCTCTAATGGGGTTTGGTTTAAATTTGATGACAATTTCACAAGTGGTCACTCGAGATCAAGACGAATTCCAAATTGGTCTCTGGATTAAAATTTGATGACAATTTCACAAGTAGTCACTGGACTTTATTCCCCATCCTCGATAACTTACGAGCTTACGTCCACCCTTGGTTGGGTATAGTTTCTTTTCGATTTATCCCTCGTAGCCGTTATCCTATTTCACACAATTCTACCGATGGAAAGGTTTTCAATAAAATTATATTATCTATGTAAAAAACATCTTTAGATTTAAATTGCAAGTCTTTGGCTCCAAACTCCAACTAATGTCTTATCAAACTTCAACGTAATTAATGTCATTCACCTTTGTCTAGGGGCATACAAGCCACCTACTCCCGATTGTCAGAATCCATCTTGTCTTGTCCTCCGAATTCTTGATCAATAATTTATCCAATGAAAACTAAAAAAACGCACGAGTTTTTCTCAATATGTTTACTAAAATATATGAGGATTATATCAGCCAAAAAAAATCATTTAATTCATAATTTCCTGTCATTGTAGTCAAAGAAGTATCACCATACATCTCAATCTCACTTTTTTTTAAAGGAGTAACTGCTTGACAGAGCAGTCTTCATTCGATCATTCACTCTATTAGTTTCATCATGGATTCGCCATGAACTAACAACCATATTTTCATGTCGCGTATAATCTAAAATCAAATACGGTTCTTAAAAAAAATGATATTTTGGGAAATTCAAATTGATCCATTTGATTCTTACACATTTTTGCCATTAATAAATAGTAGAAATGTCATAATATGTATGAAACAGGAGGTCAATTGGAGGAAATCTTATTTTTAATGAATGTTAGTTCATGTCAAGGTTTAACGACTATTTACATCGAATATGTTGTTAACTGGGTTAATATAGTGATCAATTATGTAATGGTTACATGGGTCAATAATAATATTTTAAGAACCAATTTGAATTTTCACTGAACATTAAGGACCACGTGCGAAATTAACTCAAATTCAAGTGCCGTTTCGTGAGGTTCTACGAGATGTTAGACCAATAGAATAAGGAGCCGCCTTGGAATTGACTTTAGAGCATTACGCATCGTTTTCCTTGAGGGTTGGATTGTCGCCTACTTTTTTTGACGATTATACTTATACTTGACTCATCATTTTTAGATATTTAATATTTGTAAACACTTTAGTCAAAAAAATATTTTCGATCAATTTTTTTTTTTTTTATCCATACATTCGCAAGATTCACGAGTATTATTCACTTATACATCGCTCATTTATCAGTATTGTTCATACGTAACATATCATTTTATTCTTTTGGAAGTTAAGATTTCTTGAAACTCCCTCAAATGAGCTTGCTACGTTATTCGTTATTTATTTCGTAACATATGGTCTCAACTCGAGCAACAAAACTTAGGAGCATATATCAGCAATGTAGCGATAGATAAAGATCTATACATCATGACGATGTCAAACAATAAGACAACGTTGTTGTATCATTCTGGTACACAGTACTCAATTGTACTCCAAAAAATACTAATGAAATTTAACTTCTTTTCGTTCCTTAATCTTGTCTAACGTCATCCATTTCAGCATGCCAACACATATTTGATCATATTAATAGTCAGATCAACCTATATGGCATATAGACTAAGTACATGCAATTGATTACAATCGGCCAAGTGATATATATGCAAATCGAGCAAGGATAAGTAATTTGTAACC